CAGCGCCGGCCAATCGGCCCATAATCGGGACACTTGGAAAATTAGGATGGGCCCAGAAAATGTTTCGGCTCGCTAACGAGACTGATACCGTGCCGGAGGAAGCGAGGAAAATCTGTAAGCGATATTCGTCGTCTTGAACACCGCAGGGTCTTCTACGTTGTCGCTGGAGATTATCCGGCTTGGCAATTACGATGCAGGTGGCCGGAGTCGTTTGTACTTCCATTTGATGGCTGGTTTTTCTAATTATCCTCGAGAAAATGGTAGTCTGTATTCAAATTTCTTGGTATTAATTATCAGTTGACTCTTATCCTTACGCGGATATAGACTTTTAAGGGACGATTTACAGAAATTACAGTTGAGTAGAAGTTTCTTTGCGATACTGGCTAACTGGATGTTCAGGTGAACCGACTAAACCTTGATATTACTGCTGTTCAGAGTTGGAGGTACAGTTAAACACTAAAGTTACATGCAAAACTTTTAAGAATGGGACTGGAAGAAGCAATTCTTTTCTACATGAGTTTTCGACCAATGGTTTATATAACGCATACACCTTAAAAAAGTGGCTCCTACAAAAATGCATCAGCAGGCTACTTTCGTCAGCGTCTAAAAGAAGCATTGGGCGCAGCAACTTGCAAAACAATGAAATATACGTAACAGCAGGCCAACAGTTTACACTTGTTTCAATATTACACTTTCCGACTCTGATTAAACCAATACATCTCACGGATTTCCATATGCTTCCGTATACTTCTATAATATTTCTATGTCTACGTTCCAAAGATTCCCAAATGCAGTTCGACTGAAAATTCCCATTGAACATTTTTTCGCGGTCGGTGCGAGGGTTCCAGAGAACGTGCTCGCGATTTCCATAGAATCGCCGGAGAGCAAACTCGGCGTCCGCATTCATGCAAACGCACCATACAGGGGAACGCTCCAGAATCCTCGCATCAAAAGTCAGCACCGAAGTTTCGTCAACCTCTTGGAAGGTCTGTCGGTGTCGGTAGGTGGAGCCAGGGGTGGGTGTCTCGGTTGTTTTGAGATTCGAAGCGGCGAATGGAGGTCAAGGAGGTATCCAGGATAGCGTGCGGTTGCTCCCCGTCCCTGAAGCACGGGTAGATCGTGACCTATAAAGGATGGGCGGTCGTCGACGCTCCGGGAACAGCGACGCCGTTGGGGATCGCTACGTTCCTTACTCCGGGAACGTCCGAAAGAAACGGGGGATCGGAACGAGAAGGGAAGAGCTAGGGGTTGGAACGAGCATGAGCTGGATACACTTTGAAATTCGCGGGCAAACAGAACTATTCGTCTTTATCTGGCTGAAACTATCTCCTTGGAATTCGTCCTTTGGATACTCGCGCGCATAGCCGCTCTGGAAGGTTACTCGCAGTTTGCCCTGGATTGTATGGATGGGGATAAGTGGCTTCTGGTATCAGAGTCATCTGACAGACGCAATTTATACGCTGCTGATTGTTGTACACGTGTCCCTGGTTTTCGATTTAGCGTCTTTATACGACGAAGGTGCTCGAGGTAATTTCATCTGATAATCTGTTGACCTATGTCTCTTGGTACCTGTGTAAATAATTGTATGTATTCGTGTTCTTGATGGGGGATTAATAAGAAAGCTATGCTCGATATAGGTGCTTAGTGATTGTAAAGTTGAAATAGTCGCAATTGCGAAATGTCCGTTTTTCATGGATGTGAATTGAGGAATATTTACACTTAATATTATTCTGTTGAAGAACAATTTCGACAAATTTTTACTATGAAAAATTAAATTATTCACCGATAACGCATATCAGAACAAAGGATGCCGTGTACCAATATCGTATTCGATCACAAGAGATTAAGACAATCTATAAGGTCAATGCGTGCTTATAGTAACTATACCATATTTCCTCGTTCTTAAATATTAATGCTAATCATTGGCGGGGATAGTTATCAAAGCAATGTTAAGAGAAGAGGTTGGCTCAGGGATTATTACGTGATGTAGATACTAAGTATTCTTATCCATCGATGTAGTACCCTAAAGAGATTTTGGTCCGCTTAATAATCTTGAGGTTCGAATTATTCGGAAGCGGTTCAGCGCTCGGTGGAATGTTGGAGAGCAGCACGGTGTTAGAACAAGGGGAGCGCAACGTTAATCTCGAGACTTATCCCTGGGGTTTCAGTCTTCTTCCCCCATCTCAGCTTCTATCACGATATTACGTAGGAATCATTGTCGTGTGTACGATGTCTAGCTTTCGCTCTTGCGCCTCGCAGCTTGGCGTCCAGAGACCGAAGCCAAACAATCAGGTTTGGTGGTTCGATATCTACCAAAGAGGCAACTATTTGACGCTAATCCGCGAAGTACGATTTTACGAATGAATTTTTCATTTTCCTACAAGTCGCGTTTCATATAAGGAATTTTGATTTATTTGTTCTTCAGCGGATTGAATCATTAGTTACTAAATTACTGGACTTATCTGAATGGAATCAATCGATCCCGAATATTAATTAATATTAACTCTCCTCCGAGGGACTGCTCGAAGAAGGACTATGGAGAAGCAAGCTCTTGGGACATAAATTGAGCTCTCAGTCAGATTTCCTTTAATTGAAATAGTTGGAACGTTTACACTGACTCAATATAGGGATCATGATCATCGGGCCCTCCAGGAATAAACTTTCCCCTGGAATATACCGATATAAAGTGAGTTTCTTAAGTGACTTACTTAAGAATTGATAATACCGTCGATGGTGCTTCGAGTCTCCTAACTAATTTCTGTCTTTAAACATTATGCAGAAGCTGAACGAAACCCAAATGAGGTTGCGAGTTGTATTAAAAATAATTTGCATTCCTTACTGAATTAATTAACTGATTCAAGAAACATTCACTACGCCACTATGAGTAACATCCTTTCCATAACTTATCTTACAAAAGGAAACCACGAAGAATACGATATTATTCAGATTTCTAATGAAACAAAATAACATTTTTCAACTATTAAATTTGCACAACGTTTCCAACATTTCCAGTCATTCCCTATTGCATCAAACAACAGCTCGTTTATTTTCCTGATCACCTAACCATTGCCGGCGTTATAGGTTTCCAGGAAGCCAGTAAAACGATTTCAACGATTTCCCGAAGGGGGCACCGAGTTTCGTTAAACGCGCCGGCCCCATTAACGCGCGGACCGAAAATTACCAATCAACCCCGGAGCACGGTGTCGACAGACCGGAATCGAAGGGAGGCAAACCGTGTCCCCTCGCCACTCGAGCCACATCCTGTTCCTTTTATTTCGCGAGAAGTGTCGCCGGCAAATCTTATTTAAGGCAGATTTATTGCCGGCCCAGTCTTGAGAGATCGGGCTGGGATATTACGCTGGACCCGGATGCGCCATTCACAATGCGACTCCTCGACTCAAAAAGTGTCATAACTCAAAAGCCGAGCGCCTCTCTTCGAGCACTTCCGCCGCTCCAGCACATCGTGTGCCAGAATCCGCTCCTCCTCCGCCCTTCTGCCTCGCCGATCCGTTCCTACGGACACGGTAACCGTTTCACCCTCACCCATTGACCAAATGGGTATCTACCAGTTTTTGTTAATAACGACGGAGTATCAAAAATTCCGCGAATGATCGTTCATCCGAGGCACTAACGCCTTGCAGATTGAATTTCCTGGCATGGGGACTATGGAAGAATGCGATCGTTTTTCTTGGTTTCTGGCAAATGCATTTCTGTACATACTAGTACAGAAATTAAACTGTCGATTTAATTGCGATGACCCTTTGCAGTTCTACATCGAATGTGTGCTTCTCTGCCGAGAAGATATTTAAATTAAGACATTTTTTAAAAATTGTATTATATTATCGTACTATTTTCAATGGTATTAGCAAAAAGAATTTTTTACGCTGTTTCGCATCAACTGTCTCTCGAAATACATTTCAAATAAAGCACTGAAAATAATACAAAGTTATCGAAAACAAAATGTAAAAGGAACTTAGAGTGCAAAGGGTTTAACGATGGTTCACTGTTCATCGATTTTATGAAGGGGACAAGTTTTCAAGATGTAGGATAGTGTATTTTTGGTGCTCTTTGCTGGAAAGATGTGAACTTACTTATGCCCTTTTCATTTTATTCGAAGCATGTTAAAATCCTTTAGAACACGAAGAAAAGGTGTAGCTGGAAAAGGAAGTTAAAGTACAACTTTAATAACATACCAGGAGAAAACTTTCTGAGCCAAGTTTCAATCCTCCACTTTGACCGAGAGGATACTCGTAGCAAAAATTTAAAATATTAGATTGCCCTTACTTAATCAAATACGAGAATTCAGAAAAGAATTCACTGTATCAGGATCTTTCTTCGGAATTTTTGAGAAATTGTAGAATGCTGAGAAATCTGAAGAAACAAAGATCTCGTATCAACGTTCAAAAGAGACATCACTGCCATTCAACTATACCATTCCTTTTTAATTTCTGTCTTCACAAATTGTCGATTTAAACTGCAACCACCTCGAAGAACCTCTCTCAAACTTCTCACGCAGCATTTTATTATAGTCAGAATCTTACATTCGACAATCTTGTTTTTAAGCTACGCGATACGTAACTCCAGAAGAACTGGAGCATGCGATTGCCTTACTGTGGTGAGACCAGCATCTAGAAAGAAAGTCGGAAACCGGTAACACAATCTGCCGGGCTTCTGAAGCGTGACGTTGATCATCTCGTGGCATGATCGGCAACGCGTATGTCACTCGTCCGAAGAAACCGTGCGACGTTTCCTATGCCTTATTTTTTTCGTCCTGTTTCGCAACAAACTCCATTAGAGAGACCGGGATTGGCTAATGCGCGCTCGAGCGAGCAGCTCGCGACGCTTTTTACAGGGCCGGGCCGCTTGAATAATTGTGTTTTGCAACGTCTGCACCGTCGGGAAGTTCCGGGCATGGATCCAAAGAAGAATTAAGCAGAGGGAAACTTTTAAAGTGGAGCTATAAAAGGAACAACGCGGCGGTGGCTGATCGTTCAGTTTTCGGCCGATCGTTCCAGTATCGATCCATCGATCCGTTCCCGGTTCTGTCTCCTGTGATCCTATTCGCCGTGGATACCGCGACACATAGACCAGTGGTATGGCGTTCAAAGTGAGTGTACATCACGCGATTGACCATTCCTCATTTTTCTCGTACCCGTGACACGTGGGACCCGGTGTTCCCCAGCGGCGGGATCGATCAATCGTTTCGTGCCATTTAATTATCGGCCGGCCATGCCGGCGCGGCGTCCGCGACCGAACGAAATCGTTCTGTCCCGGTCCACCGGAACCTCCATCGATTCTCCGTAACGTCGGTTAATCACAATCACTTCGTCGAATTACGTTTCTACTTCTCCGGGGAAATTTTTCAGAAAGACGTACCCGCGATCCTGGCCATTCCGCTGAGTTGCTGGGAATTAAATGGCCCTTGTCGATACCAAAAACTTGCTATTTCTGCGGAGACATAGAAATCGAAGAATACGGAATAGTAACACGGAATACTAGCTTACCGAAGTTTCTGCTTTTACAAATCGGTTCATGAGTGGAATAATGAATAAAATAAAAAGCGCTACTGATTTTTGTCAGTACTTCTGCTTCACAGAAATCTGCTTCCTCCAAAAAGAAGTCTATCAATCGATTATTTAGATTCCTGCAATCTAAATGATTAACTAGGAGTCAATTAAGAAGTTTAGAAAGTGTTTATTCCATCACTTTAAGATTTCCATAGTACACAATACTGTAACGTGTATGTTGAATGTTCAAGTGACGCAACAGAAAATACTACCAATAGTGTATTACTTCTCTATAAACCTCTCACGTAAGTCCATTGAGTAGGTGTAAACGACAAAGGTCCACACTTTACTTTCCAGAACCCCTTTTCCCCTTCTCCACAATCCATCAACGTAGCACTCTCCCTCTCTAACTTCTAACGAGAGAGTAAACATTCCGCAAATTTGACTTCGAAACAAAATTTCCACAAAACGACATTGCTATTTCCGAGAAAACTTTGCGTTGGAGCGTTCCGCTGCGGCTAAAACTCCGCATTCCATCGCGGGACAAACAACTAATGAACTATTCCTCGCAGTTTATCCTGCCGATTCTGGCTCTGTCGGTTTTGTTGGGACGCGAGGCGGACGCTGGACACGCGCACTCTTTCCAGCACTTCCACGGGCCGGTGATAGGCGACGCCCAGGAGGTCACTTGGACCGACAAGCACGGACACCATTATCACAACTACGTGGCGCATCCGCACTATGACTTCTCGTACGGTGTGGAGGACCATCATACGGGCGACCATCACGGCCAGAAGGAACACAGAGACGGTGAGCTTTCTTACGTATCCTAATGGGGGCTAACAAATAAGCTCGGATATTTTGATACTCGGAAAAAGAATCTGAGGAGTTCCCTTTTAAACAGAAACCTCTGAAGAAATTACTTGATTATGTTTGCTTCAAAATCGCTTGTTACATATCAATTCCAGTTAGTGTAACCATTGCAAAACGAATTAAGATGTTCTTAATTGTTAATTGGAGAGTTTTCGTAGAAATTACTCCAAGGGATAAAATTAAGAAATTTCGGTTCTTTATTACCCTGTATTATATAATTTAAGCGCAATTTTCCCTTTTGTAAGGAAATTTTGTTGTTGTCGATAATTTTAATAATACTGTAAGGTGACATCATTATGGCATAACAATATAGCATGATTCAATGCGACGTTAAGCTATTTTCCTTCTCTTCCTGAAAAATGTTGAAATTTTGCACTGAAAACTTTTTTATAAATATTGTACAATTATCGATTTTTACATACTATCGAATAATTTCTGGTAGATAAAGTAGTATATAATTATTACCTATCAGGCACATTAATAATATATTAGAATAAATAATATCGAGTTGTAAAGTTAAGCTCGGAAAAAGGTCGAGTGCAAAGGGTTAATATCTTTTGCCCTCTTTTGATGAGTTCGTCGTGTCCCGGATTGCATGACATGACCGTCACGAATAAAAATAAACTAGTTACGTTGGTAGAATCGCTGCAATGTTGTTACGAAGATGACGCCAGGGAGACGAGAGGTCTGATTGCGGGAATAAAGAGGCAACGTGACCTTTGTTCACGAAGGATGCTACATTGTCTTCCAGTGTAACCACTTCCGAGCTCCCTAGGTTTTATAACTATGTCCTGTACCATTGAGATTCACGGAATCATTAAATTTCGCGTTTTAATTCGCTCACAGAGCGGACCGAAGGACATTTTGAACGCTCGTCGGAACGGCGTTTGATGTCGAGAGAACTCGGTGAATTTCTAGTCCATGCATTCTTCCTCTTTGCCCGGGAAATCGGTCTAATTAGAATCAGACGGTGTTTCATGTTAATGATACTCGGATGTCAAACAGTTGGAAAGCTAGTTTGCAGGGAGTACTTTGATGGGGATTAATCGGTTGACTAAGTATAGCTAGGAGATACGCAGTGGTCGTGCCTGTATCAAAACTAATGCATTATGCGCTGAAAAAATGTCTAATAATGTATATTCGAATAAATTCATATTTTTAAAATGAAAATAGTATAACTACAAAAACACAATAGTGCTTACTAATCGAGTTGCATAAGAATGCCGAACAATAAAGAGATCATAATTCTGCTGTATGTCATAGGTACAAATCATATTTGGTACGAAGTATTTCATATTTAGAAACAAATTATAATATATTGAATAGAATAACAATTGATAAGAATATCGTAAAGATTTATTAGTAAAGGATGAACTTTGCACACGTATAAATCCATTAGTTTTACTTCAATCCTAAGGTTGTCGGTATATACCAACACAGACTTTCTGCAGACGTTTAGTTATAAAATATTTCATTCATCGGAATAACAGAGACGCACTACCATTTTGTACTGCTCCATTTTACGATAGAGTCACGTTTCATGTTCATAAGATGCCGCAAAATGACAGAGATGGTTCCCATTTCGATGCTGGCTCGGAGGCGTCTCCTTTAAGGCATCCATTGCTCGTGAGTCTCTCGTCAAATTAGTTTGAGTTCTCTAATAGACCTAACGAGATCGTAACATTATGCGGTAGAAGTAATTACGGGGCGCGGATCTTGGTTTTCGCGGGAACGGGCGCGTTGATTTAACCGTGGCTGATTGTGGCGGCATTGAACGAGCGAAAATCAAAATCGGCCGTCACGTTAACGCTCTTCGCGCAGTGCAATGCGACGCTAAGAAACATTCCCTGGTTTCGCTAATTATAATTATTCCTCGCGTAGGAATTCCCTTCCCGAAACAATTTCGAATACCGTGTCGCACCTGACGAATCTCTTCCGCTTTTGCCATATTAATCCGCTAACCAAGTGCGCGCTAACTGTGAACGCTATTTAGTTTGCCGACTTCGTTGTACGCCAGCCGTTGTCTGCGACTGTTCTTGATGGAAATGCGTGGCTTCAAACGGAAATCTTGAACGTCTGAGGGTCTCTGAGACGGATACACGGTAGTTGTAAAGATTATTTAATTATTTCGGGACATTGTCGGGATTCTTACTTTCTCTGATTGCTCGTGCATCATTATAACGTTATGGAAATTGCACTTACTTACGAAAATAACTATCTAAGCACGGATGATGAACCAAAAGGTCCAGACTTAATGGATCTTCTTTTATAAGATTCTAGTGGGTATAGACTCTAGGAAACGAAAAGACTTTCTCTTTGAGATTCTAGTGAATTTAACATTTAGGAAGGAAAAAGGTCTATGAGTGATCTATGAACCATAGGGTGTATACCTCATAGAATTTTTTCTTTATGATTCCAGTGAATGTAATATCTATGAAATAAACAGATCTATGAATGATTTACGACCGAAAAAGTGCAAACCTATTCGATCTCTCATTAAGATTCCAACCAATAGAAAGAGCATCTACGAAATATACAGAACATCAAAACCTGTTGAAGCTTTCGTTCGAATTCGTGTAATTAACACAACGAATCCTTTCCTCCAGTCAACGAAACACGCTTCCATTGAAACGATGAAGCGAGACCGTACTCGGTCGAAGAATACCGAGACGCAGAGTTATTTGCAGGCCAGATGAAGTGGTTAACGATCTCCCTTGAAATACTCGGATTATATTTCATTTCGTGGATTTAAGAGCCAGGTGAAAATTATTCGGTCAGTCCTCCAAGGTAGCCGCAATCCTCTCAGCCGGATATCCACCTCGCAATCGAGTTACAGATTGACCTTCGCCGAACCAGCCGGGATCCTCTCGTTACCCGTACCGCGGGAATTTTAATTTTCTTTTTCAAACAGACCTTCCCTTATACTTTGCTTGTTTTCACGATCGGGTAAGCGGATAGTAATTTCAGCTTCAGTTCCATTTCGCCAAACGAACCGCTCTAGATGAAAGCTTTTCGAATTACTTATTACCTTCCAATGATTGCGTTCGTTACTTTTAAAGAAAGACGAGATCGTTTCGTCCGCATATTGGCTGATCCTTGCACTGGTTTCTCGCGAATCGAGACAGTTGTGTAAACAGTCGATTCTCCGCAGGCAAAGAAGTCGTCGGCGAGTACACTGTGAAAGAACCAGGCGGCAATATTAGGACCGTGAAGTATCACGCAGGCAAAAACGGATTCCACGCTCACGTCCATAACAGCAACGGAATCGTCCATGAAGGAGGCCACCATCATTAGAAACCGTGACGACATGTTATTCATGTTCAAAGATACCTTGTTATGCAAATGTTGTTCTTGTTATCTTATCCTGATTGTTCTGTTTCTGTTATGTTGATTAAAGTACTGTTATATTATTCAATGCCACTTTTCAATTTCTTCATTTATTCACGTGCGAATCGTTTCTTCCTTGTATCTTCATGAATGAATACCGCTTCACCTCTTTATAATCATCCTCAAAAGTGTTAATACGAGATTCATGGACAATTACTGTACAGTTTGTTCTATTTATTTTAGAGAGATTGATATTCGTTTATCTAGGTCTTAAAAATTAGAGATTAAAAATAGACAATTGATTTACATATTTGCGTAACTGTATCAATCAAAATCGACCTAAGCGCGTACCATAAAATCTTTATAAAATCCAATAGGAGCGAAATTGACACGTGCCGTAAATCTGGAGATACTAACATTCTCACAGAATTAGTGTATTATAATCTATATATGTTCAAGCATCATTGTCTTTCCAAAAATATTATTCAATCGAAATTTACTAAGATATTAATATTACGAATATCTACGAATATCTAGTTGGTCAAAAATTGGTCACGCGTTTCAAATTTCAAGCGACTGAAAGTTGCGAGTGTCCATTTATTGTTCAGTTTACTTTATTAACGTAATACAAGTTACAAATCCAAAAGTGGGCAACACAACGTTGTCCTTCTCGAAACGTCGAACGGTTCCCAGCGTAACAGTTTTCGACGCGAGCCCGCGACAACGACAGGATCCGCAGATTCAATTTATTACGCGCTGTAATAACATCACAGCCGGATATTGTCAGTTCCAAATTACTTGCCGCTTAGCCGCGAAGAGATTCGATCACATAGAATTTCACCGGGCAAATCGAAAATCGATGCCCGTTACCCCGGCCAAGCTCCGCCGCGCGATTCCGCCGTTGTTTTTAACGGAACTGACGTTTACTGATTGACAATCAGACCGTCAGGGGCATATGGATCTCCCCCGTGATTACGTACCCAGGCTTAGCGGAAACAACGACGGGTCCCCAACAGCTTCGCCCTCGAAATCGATCGATCGCGTTTTGAAATTAATGAGCCCTCTGGCTTGAGGCGCGATCGTCTCTTCCCCAAAATTTGTTTGCAAAAAGAATATAACTAGGATACCGAGTGTAGCTTCGATTTGAATGCGTTGTGTCGGAAAGCTGTTACAATCCTGGACATTGATTTAAACGCGTCGTTTCAGTTTTGAAATTAATATTCCCCGAAATTTATTTGCGAAAAGAATATATAGAGGATACCAAGTGTAGCTTCGGTTTGAACGTGTTGTGTCAGAAAGCTGTTAGAATCCTTGATTTCGATTTAAACGCGTTGTGTCTGGAAACTTTCTTGCGATCCTTAATTTAGGCAAATTTCGAAAGAATGCAGAGCGAAGGGAAGCACGAAGAAATTTTGTTTGTAATTCAGTAACGTGATATAAAATATCAAATATAATCCATTATGTAATAATGAAGCGAGGAACTTTAGCGATAACATACTATAGTATTAATAAGAATTTTCTATGATGCTTCGTTTACACAAAAATGTGTGCATAAGAAAGCTGCACGTTTAAACTGAAAAATCGTAAAAGAATGTACCGGCATTACAAAAGGTTAAAACATTAGTGATAAAAAAATGCAAAAAACGTTGCAGTGTTAAGCAAGACTCGAAGTAAAAGGTACGTGCACTTGTCAGACTTCCTAAACACAAAGTATCGAGTCTCAGATGCATTACGTAAATTCTTAGAATCGTTTTCTTAGGAACAAATCATTCTTGTCGACACGGAAAACTTACAGCTGCTCCTGCTATTAGCAAAAATTACAGTGCACACTCGCGTCTGTATAGTAACAGGAAAAATACGATAAAGAAAATAAACAGCAACAATAATTACTGCCGTCGCAGTTTACGGCAAAAGACTTACTTGGGAACGGTCACGGATTTACGAATGGTACGAGTCGCGTTTCACGAAACAAAAGTGTCGCGCGAGAAACGGGGAGGGCCTAATCACCGAGCAAAGTCGAAGAAAGGCCGGACGCGGTTTAAATTCACGTTATTACCGACACGCGAGTCTAAAACGCACGGGATCGATCTGCGAGCTGGAGAAGACGCACCTAATTGCATTCGCGCGCGGTGCCTTAGGCCGCTTTCACACGACACGATACAAGCCGCTTTTGTGTGTACAAACGCAAATTGATTTACTGTCTTGTCCGACGTTCAGATACGAAAAGATACAACATCGAGATACTATATCGCATTAGAATCTTCGCCCGAGCGTTTCTATAGGTCGAACATGCACAGGGGTTGGAAAAAATTACGCAAATATCTTGTATATTCCGACAATTCTCTGCTAATATTTTGTTGCATCACGTGTTATGACAGAAGTCGTACAGCAAGGAATTAACACTGTATTCCTAAATTCATTTATATATTGGAAATATCATTAAAAAAAAAATAGAAACACTATTACCGAGTTTTTAATTACACTTTCAAATTCAGATTATCCTGGACCAAATGTGAACGAGACGGACTGGTCGGAAGGATAAACAAATTTCAATTGAAAGTTACATCAATTTCATAATAATAAAATTTTAAAATGGCAAAGTGATGGCTACACGATGCATATTTACAAGCAGCATTTCCATTATTTTGACTATTGTCTTATATCCAATATTCCATACGCGTAGACCGCTGGTTTTTATGTATTTATAAAAAATTTGAAATCACAAATTGCATAGCATCCGCACAATACGACAGAATATACGGGATACCTAAAGTATAGCGCATTTTATAACGTTTGATAGGAAAAACCATTCCCTATCATGATCATATTATTCAAATGACTTCCTTAAGCATTTGAATTTGCATAAATGTCTGCAGTCTAGTCGCACGTGTATCGCGATACGTATACACCTTCATGTGAAAGCGGCCTTATGGGCCGAGAATCTGTCACCGGCGGCGCACTAATTTCGTTCCCGGGGAAACATTGTGCGCCGCCTTGTCCGCCGTACGTTTAGGTTAAAATACGCGACAAAAGAATCGCCCGCGGGCCCTGCCGGATATCGAACCGCGCGTTTCGTTGACGTTTACAACCAGTGTTCCTCGGATTCCATGTATCTCCGGTGCCGTGCCTCGTCCCTTTCTTCGCCGAGACCCGTTGAATCGTCATACATTCCTACGGGACTCGATTGCGAACACGTACCCCGGAACACACATGCAGGACAATGCAATTTGAAAAAGCGCTGCTTTTTTTTGACAGACGGATTTCGTTACGGAAAATTCTGGAGATTTAGTACATTATTTCACGGGCAATCGCGGGTTCCGTTTATTCCCACGGTTTCGCTCCGTTTATAAATATTTCTATTTGCACAATTGAACCACGGGTAAATTGGTCGTTATAAATTTGTAACGTTCGTAAACATCGGTAGAAGTTCGCGAATTTATGTTTGAAATATAAATTTCTTTGGTTGGACATTGTTTTGTAATTTTTTTGTTTCGTTGTTTTTTTTCTTTTTGAGATATTTTCATTACAGTGAAAATTTCCAGGTCGAAGAGATTTTTCTTTGATACATCGAGCGTAGCGCAATGAAAGCACGTTTTATGCTTTCTGGCATTCTTTCATTTGTAGCTTCTACAAAAAATGCGGGAAATGTCGTTCGAATTGTAAAAGGTACGTATGTGAAACGTTCCTGGTGACTGCTTGTTCTCTGGGTCAAAGGGGATTTTGTTTCTTGGTGAAAAAGGGCTGAAGAAGTGACTTTTCAGGATATTTTCCAGTGAACCTATCACACGAATAACAAGATGAAAGTTTGGAGCTGAATTATTTAGTATGAAGCTACACTTTTGAGGAAATTAATGGCGAATTTTAATGACCGTATTTGCGCCACTTGCTACACGTGTTCCATCTTTATGTACATTAATGGAGATAGAGGAACATTTGCTATTCACATTTGCTGAATATAAAGTGACAGTTACGGGATAGTGAAATCAATGGAAAACAGATAATGCGACGTCACTTTGAATACTTAACGCAAGCTGAAATAACTTTGTACAGACAGACACGTCCAAACGAATTCTCATGGACCATAGTTCCGTGCAAATTATGTTCCACTGTGTTATAACTTATTTAGTATCCACTCGTTCCTAAATTTGCCTCAGCGAACGTTTCATGGAAAGAATCGTCGTTCTCCGTATATTTCTACGCCAATTCGCGTTCTCGATATAGAACGACATCGAACATCAAATTAAAAGTATTAAATTAAACATCAGAACTATAACAAACGTCAATATTTAATTGCCGACGCGGGGTTTAATAAAAAACCACCTCTTTCCCAGATCCGCAGTATATTAAATTTGTTATTAAATTTGTTA